CCCACCGATGAGTGAGAACATGTGGTGTTTGATTTTCTGTTCTTGTGGCAGTTTGCTGAGAATAATGGTTTCCAGGTTCATCCATGTCCCTACAAAGGACCCTAACTCATCGTTTTTGATGGTTGCATAATATTCCATGGTGTATGTGTGCCACATTTTCCCTGTTCAGTCTATCATCGATGGGTATTTGGGTTGGTTCCAGGTCTTTGCTATTGTAAACAGTGCTACAATGAACACTCATGTGCATGTGTCCTTATAGTAGAACAATTTATAATCCTTTGGTTATATACTCAGTAATGGGATTGCTGGGTCACATGGAAGTTCTATTTCTAGGTCGTTGAAGAATCGCCACACTGTCTTCCACAATGGTTGAAATGTAGTTTTGATTTGCATTTCTTTAATGACCAATGATGATGAGCAATTTTTCATATGTTTGTTGGTCTCATGTATGTCTTCTTTTGTAAAGTGTCTGTTCATATCCTTCACCCACTTTTGAATGGGCTTGTTTGCTTTTTTCTTGTAAACCTGTTTTAGCTCTTTATAGATTCTGGATATCAGCCGTTTGTCAGATGGGTAGATGGCAAAAATTTTTTCCCATTGTGTTGGCTGCCAATTCACTCTAATGGCTGTTTCTTTTGCTGTGCAGAAGCTGTGGAGTTTGATTAGGTCCCATTTGTCTATTTTGGCTTTTGTTGTCAATGCTTTTGGTATTTTGGTCATAAAGTCCTTGCCTATGCCTATGTCCTGAATGTTTTTGCCCAGATTTTCTTCTAGGGCTTTTATGGTGTTACGTCTTATGTTTAAGTCTTTAATCCATCCGGAGTTAATTTTAGTGTAAGGTATCAGGAAGGGGTCCAGTTTCTGCTTTCTGCACATGTCTAGCCAGTTTTCCCAACACTATTTATTAAACAGGGAATCCTTTCCCCATTGCTTCTTTTTGTCAGGTTTGTCAAAGGCCGGATGGTTGTAGATGTGTTGTGTTGCCTCCAAGGCCTGTGTTCTGTTCCATTGGTCTATATCTCTGTTTTGGTACCAGTACCATGCTGTTTTGTTTAGTGTAGCCTTGTAGTATAGTTTGAAGTCTGGTAGTGTGATGCCTCCCACTTTGTTCTTTTTGCTTAGAATTGACTTGGCTATGTGGGCTCTCTTTTGGTCCTATCTGAAGTTTAACGTGGCTTTTCCCAGTTCTGTGATGAAGGTCATTGTTAGCTTGATGGGGATAGCATTGAATCTGTAAATTACTTTGGGCAGTATGGCCATTTTCATGATATTGGTTCTTCCTAACCATGAACATGGAATGTTTCTCCATCAGTTTGTGTCCTCTCTTATTTCGTTGAGCAGTGGTTTGTAGTTCTCCTTGAAGAGGTCCTTTACATTCCTTGTTAGTTGTATTCCTAGGCATTTTATTCTGTTTGAAGTAATTGTGAATGGCAGTTAATTCTTGATTTGGCTCTCTTTAAGTCTGTTATTGGTGTATAGGAATGCATGTGATTTCTGAACATCGATTTTGTATCCTGAGACTTTGCTGAAGTTGCTTATCAGTTTCAGGAGATTTTGGGCTGAGACGATGGGGTCTTCTAGATATACTATCATGTCGTCTGCAAATAGAGACAATTTGACTTCCTCCTTTCCTATTTGAATACACTTTAATTCTTTTTCTTGCCTGATTGCTCTGGCTAGAACTTCCAATACTATATTGAATAGGAGTGGTGAGAGAGGGCATCCTTGTCTCATGCCAGATTTCAGAGGGAATGCTTCCAGTTTTTGACCATTCAGTATGATATTGGCTGTTGGTTTGTCGTAAATAGCTTTTATTCTTTTGAGATACACTCCATGAATACCTAGTTTATTGAGAGTTTTTAGCATAAAGCGCTGTTGAATTTTGTCAAAGGCCTTCTCTGCATCAACTTTATAAATTTTTAGCTTTTCTACTCTTTAGCTTAAAACATCAACACATTATGCAGCTCTACAAAAATATTTTTCTTTATATTCTCCTTCTAGAAGCTCATTCCTATTTTTTAAAATCTTTTCATCTTTTTTGGTAAAAATAAAGACATACATTAGCCTAGGCTGACACAAGGTCAAGATCAACAATATCAACCATCTTCAGCCTTCATATCTTATCCCACTGGAAGACTTTCAGGGGTAATAACATACGTGGAGCTGCCATCTCCTATTATAACAATGCCTGCTTCTGGAATACCTCCTGAAGTAACTGGCTGAGGCTATAATAAGTTAAATTTTTTGATATATAGAAGGATTGCACTCTAAAATAACAATAAAAAGTATAGTAAATACATAAAACATAGCATAGCCATCTATTATCATTATCAATAATTATGTACTATACAAACTATATGTGCTAGACTTCTATAAGATTGGCAGTGCAGTAGGTTTGTTTACAGCAGCAGCATCACAAACACATGATTAAGGCAATGTACTATGAGGTTGTGATGGCTACAATGTTACGAGGTGACAGGAATTCTTCAACTCCATTAAACTCTCATGGGACGACAGTCATATATGCCATCCGGCATTGGCCCAAACATCATTATACAATGCATGACTGTGTAACACAGTGGGGTGTATGTGTGTGTGTGTGTGTGTGTCTGTGTGTGTAAGGTTGTTAAAACTGAAATTGAGGTTTCAACCAGGCACCAAGATAAAATATGTTAATTTTTCCTGTGAGGTGTTAAATTAACCTATGCAGAATTTAAAATGCAAATGACTATTGGAGGTTTAGAGGTCTTCTGGCTCAAACTGTCACAGAACAGCTCATTTTAAACTCATCCTCCCACTGTAAACAAGTATAAAAGTCAGACAAAACATACAATGCAGTTGTGCAGCCACAAAACAGCATTGAGCATGGGACTATCACCCTTTGGAGAATGGAAGTTCCTGAAAGGGAGATTCACATCCTCATCATCTTTCTTTTTAAAAGCATTTGCCAATATGCAATGATGGGAAATGGAACCCAAGCAGAGAAAAACAATCTCACTGGCAAAGGAAACCAAGATCAGAGTTCAGGCTTGGAACACTGGCTGGGATTTAGGGGTAGGGTGCTGACAGAGGGAGTTACAGAGAAAAAAACACCCAAAATCTGTACTCCTAAGTTGCATATGCTCCAGGTAACACTCTAAGAAACCCACCAGAAAACAGCTGCTTGGAGATTGCATGCTAAGTAGAAATGTCAGAAGCTCCATTGTGTGAGGAGATGTTGAAATTTTAGCCTTGCAAAACCTGCGTTGAGACATCAGGATGGGGAAGCCCTATAAGTGAGGACCCTGACCTTGAAGTAAGGACCATACTGAAATAGACCCACCTAGCAAAGGCTAAAATCAAAACTAAGCAGAATCAAAGTGGGTCTGATTTTTACTAAAGGTGATTCTTCAATAATTACTTAACTGTCAAACTGTTAGCAGTCTTTGGAGGAAGATAACAAAACAGAGAATCTCTAAAATACAGTATCTAGAATATGTGCCACATCTAGCAGCAGAGGGAATGCAACAACTAGAGAAGAAATAATCAACAAAAGCAGACTCAGAGATGACCTGGATATTGAAGCCAGTAAGCAAGGACATTCTTCAAAATATTTATGATCAATATGTTAAGGAAAATAGAGGAAAGATGGGCAATCTATTTCAAAATCCCCTTAAAGATAATTATAAGGACAGAGAAAACACAAATGAACACTGTGAGAAGGGACATTACAAAACTGTAGATTTTATTGAAACAAAAATAAAAGAATGTTAGACACAGCTTCACGGCAAGATCTTTTACAATTTAGGTATAATGACATGAGTTCTTGAAAAAGATGGTTAAACAAAGCCAACAGAAAACTAAATCGAAAATATAAATAGTCCCATATCCACCAAGAAATTGAGTTATAAATAAATTTCTTCCCACCAGAAAAACTTCTTGCCCAGATTTCTTTGCCTGTCAATTCTTTCAAAAACTTAACATAGACTGGTCAGTCTTATACAGTCTTCCCTTGGTACTTTTTGAGATGGGTTCTAGGACCTCTGTGGATACCAAAATCCATGGATGCTCAGGTCTCATGTGTAAAGTAGCCTAGTATTTTCCTATTATCTATGTACATCCTTCCATATATGTTAATCATCTCTAGATTACTGATAATTTCTAATACAATGTAAGTGATTTGTAAATAGTTGTTATACTATATTGCTTAGAAAATCATGACAAGAAAAATGTCTGTACATGATGTACAGATGAGAATGTACCCATTGTAGGCTGTCCTAACTGCATAGTATACATCAGCAACAACATAACATTTTTGAATTCTCAGATAGTTGAATTCCCAGATGTGGAACCCAAAGACATAAAAGCAGGCTGTGTAATATGGTTTGGCTGTTTCCCCACTCAAATCTCATATTGAATTGTAGTTATCATAATCCTCATTCCTCTGAATTGGGGACAAGAGAAGGATGACCAGTAATCGTGACCTTTATTTAACATTGTACCGTGTGACCCAAAGGAAAAAAAATTATATTAGATAAGAAATATGACTGTCTTCTTCAAGGAAAACGTTATTGTATATGAAGAAAATCTAAGAGGCTCTATGAACAGACTATTAAAAATAAGTGAATTTGGCAAGGTCAATATAAAACAAAAAGTAACATTTCTATACATGAGTAATAAACAGTGAGAAGAACTGACATTCTTTAAACAGTGATATGTATAATACCATGAAGAAACAGAAGTTCCTAGAAATAAATATAAAGGTTATGCAAAAATCTCATCACTCTAAATTACAAGACATTGGCGAGACAAATTAAATAGAATGTTATTGCATATATGTGCAGAAGACAATATTGCTAAGATACCATTTATCCACAAAATGATCTATGAAACCATTGCAATTGTAATAAAAATCTCAACAGTTTTTTCTTTGTGGGAATCAACATGCTCCTTCTAAAATGTACAAAAGTGTGAGGAGCCTAAAATAACCAGAACAATATTGGAAGTTAACACAATTGGAGGACTTAAACTATCAGATATCAATAGATACTTGAAAGCCACAGTGATTAAAAGAGTGAAGTATTTGTTCAGGAATAGACAAAGAGAAAAAAAAATATTTAAAATGAGCCCACTGTCTTTTCTTCTAGGAGTTTTCTATTTTAGTCCTTAGATGTAGGTCTCTAATCCATTTTATATTAATTTCTGCATATACTGTGAGGTAGGGTTTTAATTTCTTTCTTTTTTTTCTTTGATAGAGACAGTGTATCACCCAAGCTAGAGTGCAATGGTGCAATCAGAGCTCATGATAACCTTGAACTACGGGGTCCAAGCAATTCTCCTGTCTCAGCCTCTCAAAATGCTAATATTGCAAGTGTCATTACCACTTCCAGCTCTCAGCTTCATCCTCTAGAATGTGGACATCCAATTGTCACAGCTCCATTAGATGAATGCTTTTCCACATTGAATTGCCTTAGGTTTTTTGCATATAATTTCTTTATGTGTCTCTGGGCTGTTGCCTAGTGCCCTTTCATTTCAATCTGAATGACTCATATTAGTATTACTTATAGGAAAGATCTGCTAGCATTGGAATCTCTCAGTTGTTAATTATGTGGAAAATCTCTATTTCTTCTTCATTTTAACTTATTAATTGTGATAAAATGTACATAACATAAATTTTGCAGTCTTAACCATTTGTAATGGTACTGTTCAGTACTGCTAAGAACATTCACACTGTTTTGCAAACCAATCTCCAAAACTGTTTTTATCTTGCAAAACTGTATATTCTCATTTTTGAAGAATAAGTTTTCTGGATATAGGACTTTTGGTTGACAGCTTTATTTTTGCAGCAATTTAAACATGTCATACCACTCTGACATTCCTTGGGATTTTCTGGTATGAAATTGGCTGTTAATCTCAATGAGGTTCCTTTGTACATAATGTGTTGTTACCTGCTGCTGTTCAAGTTCTCTCTGCTTCTATTTCAACAGTTTGGTTATAATGTATTTTGGTTTGGTTCTCTTTGAGTTTATTCCACTTGGACTTCATTGAAGTTCTTCAATGTGAATGTGTAGAATCACAGATTTTTATCAAGTTGGGCAAGGTTTCACCTGTTATGTTACCCCATACTTTCACTGTCTCTTTCCATCTCTTCTTTACTTTAAGGATTCCCATTATGCATCTGTCAGTCTACTTGATGCTGTTCAGAGGTGTCATAGCCTCTGATCTTTTGCCATTTTATTTTTTTTCCTTCCTGCTCTTCAGATTCCATAATCGTAATTGGCCTATCTTCAATTTCTTGGTTCTTCTGCCTGCTAAATTCTACATGTATTGATCAGCATGATGGTGTCCCACAAGTCCCTTAGGCTCTGTTCACTATTATTTTTCTTTTTTCTTTTTTTGTTTGTATTCTGCACAGTTTACAATTTAAGATGACTTTTCTTCGAGTTTGCTGATTCTTTCTTCTACCTGTTCAAGTCTGGTATTGAACATCTCTAATGAATTTTTTATTTCAGTAATTATACTTTCCCCTCTAGAAATTCAGTTTCCTTATTATGTTTTTAATGATGGTCTTTATTTGGTGAGATATTGTTCTTCTGGTTCCTTTATTTGTTTTCCTTTTTTCCATTGTCTTTTTTTTTTAATCTATTTAAGCATATTTAAGTCTATGGGTTTAAAGTCTTTGCCTAGTAAGTCCAATGACTTGGCTTTCTTAAGGACAGCTTCTGCTGATGTGTTTTTTTCTGTGAATGGGCCACTTTCTTAAACTTTTGAATATCTCAAGATTTTTTGTGAAGAACTGAACACTTTGAATACAACAATGTGTAGTTACTCTGGATATCATATTCTTCCCATTCCCCAGAGCTTCTTGTGGATGGAATTGTTTCTTAGTGACTTTTCTAAACTATTTTTTAAGCTTGTTCTTTGCCACATGTGGTCACTGAAATGTATTCTATTAGCTTCATGGTCAGCTAATGTTTTGACAGAGGTTTCCTTAAATAGCTGTAGCCAAAAAATAAATAAATAATGCCCTCCCAGACTTTGTGGATAGACTCTGAGGTGCGACACTCCTTCAACACATAACCAGTCAGTTTAGCCATCCACCTTAACTTCATTGACTGCTTATATAGAGGCTAAAGATCATCCAAAGGTAAAAGCCTAAGGTCATCTCAGTTATTTTTAAAGCATGTGTTTAGCCCTGGCCATGTATGTGGCATTCTGGTTTTCTCAGCATATGTAGGATGTTTCGAATGTCATATTGCCCTACTTATCTCTATCTTCAGCCTGTACCTTTCTAGGCTTTTCAGTCAGCCTGCTGTTTAGCCATCTGTTATTCCTTGCCCTGGGCATCTCTGACTAGTATTTGCCTTTAAATGCTTTTGACAAACATTGCTATGGAGACCACTCTAATCTTAATAAAGTTCCAAAAGGAGGGAAACAAAGACAAGCCTCTGAGCTGATCTTTTTGGGGGCTGTCATACCTGTCAAAGGATACAAACACAATTATTTGAGAAGAAACTTCATTTTGCCTCTTCTGGCATCAGGAAACTACACCAGGAATGTGGCCACTGTCCCATGGCTACCTCATAGCTGAGGGGTTGGGGGTGGGAGTGAGTAGGTGGCTAAGGAATAATGTCACCATGCTCTCTTACCAAAATTTAGAGCTTCTTTTTCATTAAGCACTACTTTGGTTGTTGTAAAAAGTTTTTTCATAGACACCAGAGTACACAATAACTTAGTTTTGATAGTTTTTTCCAGGTTAATAGTTGCTTTAGTAGGGGAGTGTTTTTGGAGTTCTCTACCATTTTCTGGTAAAGTCATTACAATTGTCTCTTAATAAGATTTTTAAATTATGAAAAAATCGTATGTATCTACCCACATGCTTACCATTTCTGGTGCTCTTCATTACATATTTGCAGTTGGTATCATTTTCTTTTTGCCTGAAGGGCTGAAACATTTATTACAGTTTATTTATTACAGTTCATTATTACAGTGTAAATGTTTTCACTTCCTATAAGTCTAAAATCCCTTTATTTTTTGATAGATGTTCTTAGGGAGTGTTAAAGAGCCTGATTTAATCATTACACATGGTATACATAGATCAGTATAACCCACAGTTCCTCATCAATATATCATTTAAAATTTGTCAATTAAAATTATGCATATTACATATATGCTTTCAAAGGATTTATTTCTGGAAATAACATCTAGTTTGACAGCATTTTCCTTTCAGAATTTTAGAGATGTTGCTCATCTGTCTCCTCCTTTGCACTGTTTCCAATGAAATAAGTGCTGTCATCTTTATTACTATTCTTATGTCTTTTTCATTTTCCCCATTTTCAATTTTCTCTCTTTGTTTGATTTTGAACAAATATATGTTATATTCACTCACAATTATAAACTAAACTTGAGAAACAATCTGTAGGGAGAGTTTGTTGATGATTGGTTATAAATTTTCAGAAACAGTTGTTTATTCCTTGTTTTATTAGGTCAAAGGCTAATTTCCTTAGAATATTCTTGTATTAAAGAATGTCATAAATAATTTTGTTTGTCATCTGGACCTGGTGCCCAGGTAGGTGGTAAAGCACTATTCTGGAGGATGTTTTTAGGCTGTTTCTTGGATAAGATTAACATACAAATTGCTGTACTTTGAGCAAAGTAGATTGCCCTCTATAAAACGAATGGACTTCATTCAATTCATTGAAAGCGTGAATTAAATAAAACACTGACCTTTCCCAAGTACGATGGAATTCTGCCCTGGGATTTGAACTGCAGTATCAGTCTTCTGACCCATAAAGAGCTGGTTTGTTCATGTACAGCATTTGCAAGATGAATGGACAACATCCTGTTTGGAAGTCCTCCCCTTTGATCAAAGAGGATAAAAACAGAACAACTCTTGTGGGATGAATTGCATAGTATTTTCTTAGCAGTGATGGAAGGATTGAACAATGATAAAAGCTCCTATGTTTTAGTTTTTACTGACTTATGGGAAGTGACTGATGGCCTAGCCATATAATTAATCAAGAGAGGAATGGAAAACTGGCCTATGAAAAGAATGCCCGTATGGGACACAGTCCTGTGGACATCACTGTGGTAATTTGAGAGGTGCATTAATGTAAGACACCTTGATGCCTGATATAGGGTGGATGTTGTTCTTGCCCGAATCTCATGTCAAGATGTGATCCCCAGCATTATAGGTGGGAAGTAATTGGATTATCGGGTGGTTTCTCATGACTGGTTCAGCATCATCCCCTCAGTGCTGTTCAATGCTCATCAGAATAACTCCCTTCCAGGTCTGAAAGGTGATTGAAATCAACAAACATTTATCTCTAAGTGCTTGCCAGGTGCACCTGTAATTCCAGCTATGAAAGTGGCTGAGGCAGAAGGATATCTTGAGTACAGGCATTTGAGTTTAGCCTGATAAATATTTGAGTCTGGCCTGGGAAATGTATTAAGACCACATCTCAGAAAAAAATTTACGTTTGTTTGGGAAGATCACCTGGGTCCATGAAATAAGTAGACACCGGGGCTGTAGCAATGCAGAGATGGGCTGAATCAAGACATATTCCTCTTGCATTCCCCACCTCACAGGTGCAAAATACTCTTAAGAACTATTCTATTTAACAAGACTGGGTGCAGTGGCTCATGCCTGTAATCCCAGCACTTTTGGAAGCTGAGATGAGTGGACCACTTGGGATCAGGAGTTTGAGACAAGCCTGGCAAACATAGTGAAACTAAAAATACAGCAATTAGCTGGCATGGTGGTGCCTGCCTGTAGTCCAGCTACTTGGGAGACTGAGGCAGGAGAAATGACTTGAACCTGAGAGGCAGAGGTTGCAGTAAGCCAAGATGGTGCCACTACACTCCATCCTGAGAGACAGAGTGAGACTGTGTCCCAAAACAAAAAAAGGGTTACAAGAAAAGAGACAGAGATAAGCAGAGACAATTAAAAAAATGAACCTGAATGGGAGGTATTGCCACCATACGGACCACTGAGCCACATTACACCAGGAAACACACTTCCCCACAATGTCCAACAATGGTCAGAGAAACAGCTTCCTCAGAGGAAGAGTTCCATAGAGAATTAAAATAGCCAATTGAAACATTGGCTGTATAAAACAGGAGTGGGGAGACATAAGCATGAAGGGTGAGCTTACACACCTTCATGACTGGGCTCACACATGACATGAGAGATTCTCTCTTTTCCTGGTGGAACGGGGGAAGGTGCTGGTGTGATCTACCTACAGTCCTTCCCAAGGTGGGAGGACACTGGAATGATGACTGTACTTTACCTCATCTTGCTTTTCTCATACCTGATGGTCCCAGGACTAGGGATGCAAATACAGTCTAGAAACAGGAATTATTCCTAAGCAGGAAACTGTAAATATATTTTATGTCTGTAATGCAAGAATTCCTGAGGGCCTGGAGAAGGAGGTTGTGCAATCCCTGCATCTGGATAAATTGGGGTTAACACTGAATGCAGCCGTATTGCCTGGGGTCAGATAGCCAACCAGCTCTCTACCTGCATAACCCTAACCTCTGTTAACTGGAATGCACTGATGGGAGACGCTTCCTAGAACAGTATTGCTCTCCGCAGTCTAGGCCAGCAGTGCAGCAAAACCTCATGTTCCTTCCAAAATTGGAAATGTTTGGTATAAATGAAGAGAAGGAGAAATAGTAGCTGAGGGTAAATGAATGAATAAATTGGTTACATAATGAGGAAAATCCAATGTAACATGAACTACTCGAAAGAGGCATAAGCAAGAGATGATATTGTCTCTTAGCTCAATTTTACCAGATGCCTGAAAGGGTGCATCTACATGTTGCTGAGACTACTTCTGTTTTTGGACTACACTGGGATAATTGTTAATGACCAAACAGGATTCTGGTAATGTGCCAGGTTTTTTTTACTCATGATTCCTCTAATATAGGAGACCTGTGATTGGCCAGGCACAGTGGCTCATGCTTGCAATTTTATCACTTTGGGAGGCCATGGTAGGAGGATTGTTTAAGGCTAGGAATTTGAGACTAGCCTGGGCAAAATAGTGAGACTCCACCCCTACAAAATATTTAAAAATTAATTAGGCACGGTAGTGTGCACCTGTGATGCTATCTACTCAGGAGGCTGAGGCAGAAGGATCACTTGAGCCCAGGAATTCAAGGTTACAGTGAGCAGTGATTGTGCCACTGCGTTCTACCCTGGGCAACAGAGCAAGACCTTGTCTCTAAAATAAATATACAAATATTATAAAAAGAGATAGTGTGGTCAAAGACCAGGGTGTGATCTGTGGTCCAATCAAAATATTTAGTTTTGTCCCTGTTTCCTGACAAGCAGGTTCAAAAACATTTTCAGTCTTCTCAGTGATAAGCATGACTTTAACCTGGCAATGAGATGACTACGGGCTGAGCAGCCCCTAGGTAGCTTCAGGATGGGAGCTGCTCGCCAGAATCGTGAAGCTGTCATTAGAGGATTGGAACTTTCAGCCCAATCAATTACCTTTGCAAAGGACAGCAGGGCTGGGGGTTGAGTTCAGTCACCAATGGCCGATGATTTAATTAATCTTGCCTACACATGAAACTTCCATAGAAACCTCTAGAGATTGGCTTTTGGAGAGCTTTCCAATTGGTGAGTACATTTGTGTGTCCATGTGCTGGGAGGATGGTGCACGCCATCTCCATGGGAACGGAGGCTCCTGTGCTCAGAGTCCTTCCAGACCTCACCCTGTGCACCTCTTCATCTGGCTGCTCATTTGTATCCTTTATAACCGCTATGGTTTGAATGTTTCTCCAAAAATGCATGTGTTGGACGATTCATCACCAATGAAACATCTTTAAGAGGTGGGACCTTTGAGAAGTGATTAGATCATCAGAGCTCTGGCCTTATTAATGGATTAAGTCTGATCATGAAAGGATCTGCGGCTGTGAGTCTGACCTCTTTTTCCATCTACATCTCACCTTCTCTTGCCCTTTTGCTTTGTATCAGATACAATCTCTTAATCTTGGAATTCCCATCCTCAATACCATGAATCAAATAAATTACAGTTTGTTATAAGTTATCCAGTCTCAGGTGTTCTGCTATAGTGGCATAATTTAAACCAGGGTCCCTAACCCCCAGGCTGTGGACTAGTACAGGTTCCTGGCCTGGTAGGAACCAGATCGCACAGCAGGAGGTGATTGGTGGGCAAGAGAGCATGAGTATGACCACCAGAGCTCCACCTGCTCTCCGATCCGTGGCGGAATTTAATTCTCATAGAAGCATGAACCCTGTTGTGAACTCTGTATGCGAGGGATCTAGGTTGCATGCTCCTTATTAAACACTAATGCCTGATCATCTGAGGTGGAACAGTTTCATCCTGAAACCATTCCCCTCCACCCCCTGCCACCTCTGCTGGTCCATGGAAAAATTGTCTTCCGTGAAACTGGTCCCTGGTGCCAAAAAGGTGGGGACAGCTGATTTAAGCTGTAACAATAATAAACTGCAATACTGAGTGTGAAAGGTAGATAAAATTTCAGAACTCCAAACTCACTATACCAAAGGAAAATGTTAAGTTTGGAAACTGAGTGATGTAAAAATTGCCTTTCTTTTGTTCCTAAACAACTAACCGCGAAGACAGAAGACCACATATCTCCCCAGGTGGCCTCCCTCACAAATTGCTCCCAGGATAATTCCTTGTGGGCCCCAACATCTTTACTCTAAAACACAGTTTTGTTGAATTTCCCCTGACAATGTAAATTAACAGCTGATCTTCAAAGGTACAGGAAAAACACAAGACTAGAAATCATTCCTCCACCCACCCAGAGACAAATGCGTACTTGACTTCTCTACCTCACAGTTTACTTTATCTCATGTAAAATGCAGATTTACTGAGCATGAGATGAAAGCATAGTTGACTGTTCCTTCTTAATCTCCTGCCTGCTTTTCCCCTGTAAATATTGCAGCCCTCAAAACCCTCTTAGGAAAAGCCACAGATGCTACAATGATTTGTGTGTCTTTTTCCAAGGTGTAACTTCAGCATGGAAAAATAAACTTCTAAACTGATTGAGAACTGTTTCGGATGTTTTATGGTTTGTGTGACAATAGCAACTATCTGAGTTATTTGAGTTAGTTTAAGAATTATCAAGCCTTAGGAGGTGAGAAACCCCTGACTTTGCAGCCATGATAGCCAGAAGTGCAGGTAACCTGGGACCCGATGCTTGTGACTTGCATCTGAAGTGAGGACAGTCTTGTGGGACTGAGCCCTTAAACCTGTGGAGTCTGAGGCGAACTCCAGGTAGTTAGGGTCGGAATTGAGTCGAATTCTAGGACTCCCAGCTGTTGTTGGAGAGTCAGAAAGTTACTTGGGTGGAGGAAAACACCATCACCATCCCACAGGCAGAAGCCTATGGTAAGAGTAAGCAAGTTAACCTCTACCTTCTTCAGTCCCAGAGGAAAAGATAAACAAAATGTAAGCATTTATTTCATGTCCCTAAGTCTGCTAAACACAGGTTGCTACCAGCTGTTCATTGTCCAGACACAGAGTGGCCCTACCTCTAACCTAGAAGTTAGGATTTTCTTTTAGGCCACTGAGGGGTTCACATAAAAACAAATAAATGTGCCAGGGCATGGTGGCTCATGCGTGTAATCCCAGCACATTGGGAGGCCGAGGTGGGCTGATCACCCGAGGTCGGGTGTTCGAGACCAGCCTGACCAACATGGAGAAACGCCGTCTCTACTAAAATTACAATATTTGCCAGGCATGGTGGCTCATGCCTGTAAGCCTAGACACTCGGGAGGCTGAGGCAGGAGAATTGCTTGAATCCAGAAGGGAGAGGTTGTGGTGAGCCGAGATCGCACCATTGGACGCCAGCCTGGGCAAAAAGAGTGAAATTCTGTCTCAAAAACAAACAAAAAAAAAAAACTAACGAATCATAGAGATTATCTCCCCAGAAATATTTCCACATACAAGAACAACAAATGTTAATATAAGACATCAGTGTGCACCCAGGTCCTCCAAGATCTTGGTTTTTTAATCTAGTAAGAGACAATGCCTAGGGAAGATGTGTGAATAATCATTTCACCATCACACAATGCCACTCCAATAATCTAGAGTATGAACTGGAATAGACAAACACTTGAGGTAATAACTTATTTTCAAGGGAATGGGTGGAAAGATGTTATTTATTAGTAACTGGTTCATTCAGATACTCTGAGTGCCTATGAGATACCAGATAAAGTCCTTGTCTTGGATCACTGCTCTAAGAATCAAAATTTGTCATTCTTTTCCCACCCCTCACACTCAGCACTTGAGCCCCCTTACTACATCAGAATTCCACATCGTCAATCAAAGGAGTCAAACTGTGTAAAATATTTGAAGAGATTTATTCTGAACCAAATATGAGTGACACAGCCCATGATACAGCCCTGAACATGTGTTCAGGTGGTTGGGGTGCAGGTTGTTTTTTTACATTTTAGGAAGATAAGAGACATCAATCAAATACATTTAAGACGTACATTGGTTCAGTCCAGGAAGGCGGAACAATTTGAAGCAAGTTGGGGTGGGAGGTAGGGCTTCTAGGATACAGATAGATTTTTAAATGTTCTGGTTGGCAAATGATTCAGTTATTATCAAAAGAAAGGAATGTCTGGGTTATGATAAGAGGTTGCAGAGTCCAAAATTTTAGAGGCTTCAGAGATAATAGATTGGAAATGTTTCTGATCAGACTTAAGGTCTGTGTAGATGGTAAACGCTGGTCAGCTTTTCCTGAATTCCAAAATGGAAGAGGGCATAATGAGGCATGTTCAACACCTGCTTCCCATGGTGGCCTGAGCCAGTCTTCCAGGTTAACTTTTGAGTGCCCTGGCTGAGGGTGTCCATTAAGATGGTTGGGAGGGATGGTTTTGAAGTTCATTTTTGGTTTGCAACGTGTAAAGTGTTGAGAGGAGACAGAAACCGCCTCCCTCCCTAGAAAAGGACAACACTCTAGTCACCCTTGCAGTTAATCATGGACATGTGTCTTAGGCTCCACCCATCAGACAATCACCTGCTGAAGCTGTGTCATTGTCTTGGGTAAATAATGGGGATTTTGCCATCTTGCACCAAGAACATTAAGGACACTGACACATGAGGAGTGAGCTTAGAAACAGAGGTTTAATAGGCAAAAGAAAGACAAAGGGGAACAACTCTCTGTTGTGAGAGAGGGGGCCACCCGAAAGGGAATTCCAGCCCAGAATAAGAGTGCTCCAGATTTTATAGGCAGGCTTGAGGAGATGGTGTCTGATTTATGTAGGGCCCACAGGTTGGTTGGACCAGGTGTGACATTTACATAGTACGTGAGGAAAGGTTGCTCACCCCACCCTAATGCTATTATGCTAATGGCCTTTCCATGTGGCTGGTGCCATGTTGTCTACTCCTTACTGTGCATGTGGCTGGTAAAGAGAAGGGAAGATGGAGCTGCCATGCGAACATACGTAGTCCCAGGTGTCCTTTTCCTATTGGCACGGCTGCCACATTCACTCCTGAGAGCTCCCAGCTTGCTTGTCTGTGTCTGAAGCTTGATTTTAGAAAAGAAAATGACTTGGGGGCTACTCTTCACTAAAAGGAAAACCTTACTGAGTCTTCCATACTCTCGCTACCTGCCTAAATAATTTCTACTTAATTCCTGTATCACTGCCAGACTCCGAGCCAGAAAGAGGTGACAAAGAGAGGCTGGAACTATACAGAGTGCATTTTAGAGAGAATGGCTGAGTGGCAGTAATGATGAACAGTTTCCAGATACAGCAGCGACATCTGTCCTAGCCTCAGGGTCCACTGTCCATCACCAGGTGTCAGAGGTGTGAGCAGTGGCATCTGTGCTCAGCAGCAGGGGCAGTTGTTCCCAGGAGGGACCAGATCAAGAGTGGGCTGTGGATTCTGTTCCTGGATATACAGTTTCCAGCAGGGTTCTGTGGCCTTCCCCACCATAAAATTAGCCCCCAATACCAGATATACTACTTCATGTGTAAATTAGAGAAATTTGTTTTCCATAGTTTGCTCTAAGAAGTGTGTGAGAAATCAGTCTTTGGACCAGTGTCAGAGAGCAGCATTCAGAGGTGTTCTTTATGCGAGAGCCACATCCTGAATTGTCTACCTGGCCTCTACTCCATGGTGGAGAGATCAACAGGGAATATCACATCTCATAACTGATGATATATGTTCTCCCTTTTCTTTCTGAGAGAAAAATCCTCTTTTAAACAAGATTTCAAATCCTAATCTACCCACCCACCCTGGGCACTCTCTGATCTCTGATCTCTGTGGTTCCCGATCTGTCTGAGCAACAAGATTGCTGGTGGGGTTTAGAAAATACTCAGGCCTTTGGGAGGCTGAGGCGGGTGGATCACGATGTCAAGAGATCGAGACCATCCTGGTCAACATGGTGAAACCCCGACTCTACTAAAAATACAAAACATTAGCTGGGCATGGTGGCACGTGCCTGTAATCCCAGCTACTCAGGAGGCTGAGGCAGGAGAATTGCCTGAACCCGGGAGGCGGAGGTTGCGGTGAGCCGAGATCACGCCATTGCACTCCAGCCTGGGTAACATGAGTGAAACTCCAACTCAAAAAAAAAAAAAAAAAGAAAATACGCCACTCCCCAAAATCCCTGCCTCAGGATATTATGCACAAGATGAAGGAATCATTTATATAACAAGCCCTACAGGCGAGGCTGATGCACAGACATGTGGGATCCTGCTGTTCTTGCTACTCCAAGTGTGATCTGGAGACCAGCAGCAGAAGCTCCAGCCTTGTCATTAATCCAGAGTCTCTTTCTTGACTCCAGACTTCCTGGATCTCAGCACCACATCCAGGTGATTCCTGTGCACATGAGAGTTCCCTGTCTAAGTGTCCTCTAGGCATGGGGTCAGAACTGTGCAGTCTGCTCTGGGCGTGGTCTGATCAGACCCCTTAGAACTGGAGGTCCAGGGCTCAGCCCTTGCGCTCATTCTTTTCCGCAATCACTGCCTTGGTGCCCTCATCCATTCTTGAGGTTTTAAGTATCATTCATATGGTATGACCTCCTAAATCTACTTCTCCAGCCCAGTCCTTTCCCCTAAACTCTGGAGTTGTTTGTCCAACTGCCACCCCAGCTCCCTCACCTACATTCCTAGTAGACATCTCCTCCACTGAGTGCCTGGGATGACCCCTCCTCAGTAAGCTCCTGCCAGAGTCCCCCCATCTCCACTGATAGCAGCTCCACCCTTCCTTCTACTCATTCATTTTACAACTATGACTGTCCTTGATTATTCTTTCTCGCACCACAGATACAATCCATTGGCAAATGCTGTGAGTCTATCTTAAAATGCATCCAGAATCCCCTCACGTCCCGCTATTTCCCCTGCTCACACCCCAGTCAAGGTAACCGACATCTCCAGCCTGGAGATGTCATTTCCCACTCTTTTTCTTTCTGCCTCCCTCGTCCCTCGCCTCTCAATTCTGTCCTCAGCGCAGCAGTCAGAGTGATCCTTTTAAAAGAGAAGTTATACCATGACCCTCTTCTGCTCCAAACTGTCCTTTAACTCCCATCTCACACAGAACAAAGGTCAGATCCAACCCCATCCCCATCAAGCCCACCTGCTCTGACCACACCTCTGACCTCACCTCAGTTTCTCTCTGTCCAGCCCTCCTGGCCTCCTTGCTCTTCTGGGAACACAGACACCTTCCTGCCCCAATGCATTTGCCCTGGAGGTTCCCCTGCTTGGAAAGAACTTTCACAGACATCCTCATAGACACTCCTCATGTCCCTCAAATATTTCTTCAAAGGTCAGCTTCGCAACAAGGCACACAGACTACCCAGCACAACAGCCACCTTCCCTGTCCCCAATGCCCACAGCCTGGATTACCTGACTTACAGCACTTACCACCTTCTAGCACTTTCTTTCCTTACTCTGGTTATTGTGTATCTATTGCCTGCCTCTTCACACTGGACAATATGCTCCAAAAGACCAGAGATTTTTCTCATTTTACTTCACTGATGTTTGCCAGATGCAGAATCATTTTGTCCTATGTCTGGCTGACAGCAAAGGTCAGTTGAATGAATGAACACTGTAGAACAGCTCCCTATTCTAAAGACAGTATCTTTATTAACATAGCCTCAGGCCAAGTGCTGTTTTGTAGCAGCTACAGCACAAAGTCCCCTCACACTGACATCCAGCTGTCTGAGCTTTCGTCAGCAGGGCTGCTTGTGTTCTTCCTCCCACACCAACCACCTCCAACCCCCCCACCCCCCACCCCCCACATGCTGCAGCACACGACCAAGCTTCTCCCTTCAGGAAAGTACAATTCTTGACTATGGACCCAATTTTACAAACAAATACGAATCTAAATTAGACTCTGCTTTAGATTCATGAGTTGGGATTGGAGCCAGCACCAAGATCACTAGAACCAGGGCAGGGAGAGAGGGCAGGAGAGCAGAGCAGAAGAGGAGCCCTAGAAGGAGGGCAGGAGCTGAATGGGTCTGAAAATTTGTCTCAGAAACACAGAGACTCCCGTGTGCAGGGGCCGCCCTGGGCAATGTGTGAGCCTCTGTGGTCACAGCTTTCACTGGACAATTTTCCACTGAAGGAACAAGGACAATGGAGCAGTGAAGCTGACCCAGCTGAGGACTGACCACATAAAGCCCATGATGGACTCAGCAGCAACTGGGCACAGGCCCCATCCACACTCGGCTCCTCACAGCCTTCTCCATCCCCACCTGCAACAGACTCAGCACACCTAGCATGCGGACTCTGGAAGGTTCTCAGGTCTTTTATTTCCTCTCTCAAATTTTAGGAATTGGTTTATTTAATTAACCCATCAGCTTAATATTTGAGAAAACAAATTTATATTCAGATTCTTATTTTCAGTAGGAAAGTAAGAGGTTGCAGCTCAGGGCACCATGAAGTTGAGAGAGAAATGAAGACACCCAGCCCTACCTCTTGGAACAGGAAAGATGACTGGGGAGGGAACACAGGTCAGTGTGGGGACGGGGGTCACAGTGGACCCGGGGTGGGCTGTCTCTCCACCTCCTCACATTATGCTAATAGGGATGCAGACACATTCAGAGACCTTTGCAGAAAGAGATGCCAGAGGCTCCTGAAGTCACACAGGGGAGGCGTGAAGAAATCCTGCATCTCAGTCCCACACAAGCAGCTGTCTCAGGCTACAGAAGACAATAGTCATGAACAAATTCAGTCAGTCATGGTAAGTGATGACACTCTGAACAGCCCACCAGACATTGAAAATGTCCCAATCAAAGAATCCCCATAACCTAGTCCTGTCCCTTCTGCCCCACTCCCCACCCACTTTGGGCCTCCCAGGGTCTCCCCTTTACAAGCCATGAGAGACACATCAGAGCCCTGGACACTGTCGCTGCCTGCAGTAGAACAAAAGCAAGACCTGGTCAGAGCCCACAGGAGATGTGGGACAGGAGCAATTGTGGGGTGAGTGAGCTCCTCCACACTCCAACCCCCCACCACTTACATGAAGCCTGAGAGTAGCTCCCTCTTTCTCCACCTGTGGGAAAAAAAATGTTCTGTGAGGGGACAGGGAGGAGACAGAGCCATGAGATCTTAGAGGAACCTCCTAGTCTTGGACCCAAGAGAAGTTTCCAGAACTATGACTACAAACCCAGGGCAGGATCAGGAAACACCAGGAAAGCTGGTGGGCAGGTGTGGGTCCTGGACCAACTGCCCTCCTAAGGTCTGTCCTTAGCAGGGACCTTCCCCTGACTTGTGAATGCTGGGATCAGATCCCCAACACCACAATCATCAAGGTGATACATCTGTCCTTCATTGTCACATGTGCTTCACAAAGAATAAGTACTGATATACAGGGCCCCAGGCTAGATCGGCCCGTGTGTGGATGGTGCTTTCCAGTAATGACAAAGGGAACAATTGTACCTGGGACTTGAAACCCCTAGTGGGACAAGAAAACCCAGACCCCCCTTCATGCCCTCCCCACCTGAGCTCTTCTTCCTCCACATCACAGCAGTGACCACTGCTCCAAAGACCACGGCTCCTAGGACAGCCAGGCCAGCAACGATACCCACGATGGAAACGGTGAGCTGGGAAGACGGCTCTGGGAAAGGAGGAGCAGGTGAGGGGCGCTGACCCCAGGCCTCAGCCCCGACCCTGAGAAAGGGTTCAAGAACGGCTCCTGCTTTCCCTGCGAAGAGATGTGATGCCCCCCATCCCCTCCTTACCCCATCTCAGGGTCAGGGGCTCAGGCAGCCCCTCGTGCTGCACATGGCAAGTGTATCTCTGCTCTTCTCCAGAAGGCACCACCACAGCTGCCCACTTCTGGAAGTTTCCATCCCCTGCTGGCCTGGTCTCCACAAGCTCCATATCCTGGGTCTGGTCCTCCCCATCCCGCTGCCAGGTCAGTGTGATCTCCGCAGGGTAGAAGCCCAGGGCCCAGCACCTCAGGGTGGCCTCATGGTCAGAGATGGGGTGGTGGGTCACGTGTGTCTTTGGGGGATCTGATGGGAAGAGTCAGAAAATGCAGGCACTTTTCATCTCTCATGGGACATCACGGCAATACCCGTGTGACCATCCTGAGAATGGACAGGACACCTGGGGTGAGGGGGGAGCACAGAACCCAGACACCAGCCTGGACACAGGCACCTGGGATAATCTCCTATTTCTTGGAAAGTTCTAGTCTCTGAGAAGGGGGGAACAGCGACTTCTGGTCCTGACCTGAGTGGAGGTGGAAGTACTCAGAAAAGCTGGAATCAGAACTTTAAATAAACACATTGAGTGTGAGGCAGAGAACAAGGCCTGAGAGAAAAAGGCACGGCGCCCAAGGCGGCTGCAGGGGTCAAAGGGGACCCCTCATCAGTATTCCAGGGACTGTCATCCCATCCATTTCCTCAGAGACGTCATCCCTAAATTGTCCTAGAGAGCAGAGGAGGCCTTGAGGGGAAACTCAGGAAAGCTCATGTCATTCTCCACTCAACAGAGGGCGATATTCCAGCGCTGATCCGATTTTCCTCCCCTTCTAGTGGAAGGTCATCCCGAGAGATATATAGGAGATGGGGAAGCCTCCCTACTGTCCCTAGTACCCGCGCGCTGCAGCATCTCCTTCCCGTTCTTCAGGTGTCTGCGGAGCCACTCCAGGCACTCGCCCTCCATGTAGGCTCTCCACTGCTCCGCCACATTGGCCGCCTCCCACTTGCGCTGCGTGATCTGAGCCGCTGTGTCCGCGGCGGTCCAGAAGCGTAGGTCATGGTTCAGGGAGATGTAATCCTTGGCGTCGTAGGCGAACTGGAGATACCCGCGGAGGAGGCTCCGGTCGGGCCCCAGGTCGCAGCCGTACATCAACTGGAGGGTGTGAGACCCTGGCCCCGCCCCCGCGGTCAGCCCCGCCCACCGAGCCCCGCCCCCGCCCCGACAGACCCGCGGGGACTTTGGCCTAAACTGAAAATGAAACCGAGTAAAGGCGCGTGGGGCTCTCCCGCGTCCAGGGTCTGGGCGGGTCCGGCAGCCCCGGGGTGGATCTCGGACCTGGAGACTCCGGGGAACCGGGGCTGCCCGTGGGGGATGGGGAGGGGTCGTGACCTGCGCCCCGGGCCGGGGTCACTCACCGGCCCCGCTCTGGTTGTAGTAGCCGCGCAGGGTCTGCAGGTTCACTCGGAAAGTCTGTGCCACATCCTTGGCTCTCTGCGTCTCCTCTTCCCAATACTCCGGCCCCTCCTGCTCCACCCACGGCGCCCGCGGCTCCATCCTCGGTCTCGCGCCGTCGCTGTCAAACCGCACGAACTGCGTGTCGTCCACGTAGCCGACTTCTAGGTATCGGGGCTCCCCGCGGCCAGGCCGGGACACAGCGATGTGGAAATACCTCATGAAGTGGGAGCCTGGGGGCGAAGAGGGGCTGAGACCCCCAGATCCTCCTCCCTGCGCGGCTCCCCGAGTCCTGCTTCCCCGCCCGGCGGGCCCCTCTCTCCTCCCCGCAGAGGCCATTTCCCTCTCGACCCCTCACTCACCCGCCCAGGTTTTGTTCTGGGCCAGGGCCCCCAAGAGCAGCAGGAGGAGAGTCCGGGGCGCCAGCACCGCCATCCTAGGCACCTGGGGAGGGTGAATGGGGATTTTAGAACCAGGACCGCGGCGATGTTGATTGGCTTCTCTAGAAACCCGACACCCACTGGCAGTGGGAACTGGGTCCGCGTCACGTGTATCCAGGAAGGAGGACCCGACACAGGTTGGGTTAAGTGAAACTCAGGAGAGTGGGGCTTCCCCAACGCTGCGCCTCCCCAATGCAGAAACGACCCTGGGTGCCAGAGACCCTGAAAGCCACGCCCAGGAACTAGGACTTTGTCCTGATCCCTCTTCTCCTACACCAAGCTTCTTTGTCACACTGTCTGTCTGAGTCCTGGCCAAGGATCTGTCTGTGAAAACCAGGGAGAGACCCCCTCCACCCCAGGCTGCGCCCAGGCCCTTCCCCTTCACTTCTCGTCCTGGAATCCCCGTCCGTGAACTGGACTCCCTGCCTCCCACTCTTTACCTCTCCCCCTGGACTCTTGTACAAGGAAACTCACCACAGGGAATTTGATGCCAGAGAGTGAGCTCGCTCTGGGAATGGAGTTGTAGAGACAGGGGTTTTCTCTTTAAACCTGGTGAAGTTTTGTCTGAAGGCACCAGACAGAGGTTCTCATAGAGACCAGTTTCCTTTTTGTTTGTTAATACAGTAGGTAGCACAATATTGTAATACCTGAATGATTAGGATTCCAATCTGTCAAAGACCTGTGTCAAAACAGCATTACAGTTAAACTCTCAAAGCTCCTAAGTTTTACTTTCCCAGACTATGGATCTGTGACTCTGGGTTGTTGCATTTAAAATTATCTTCACTCCCTAGTCGGAGTTTCCCTGTGTGAGTCCAGAATATCAGCTGCATACAAAGAAGCAGGTTTGTCACCGTGTATTGAACCAGGAGCCTGTAGTCATCACTCAAAGTTGCAAGTGCTCCATGCAGTCCCAATGCTCTTCACCAGCCCTCAAGTACTGCCAGCTTTCCTGAGCTATGCACATCTAAGCAGAGTGCATATTTTACTTGAACACTTGGTACTTTTGTAACCTTTTTTTTTAATCATGAGGAGATCATTAGTTTTTAGGAAGTCCCACAAAATGTATTAAATAGGAATGAAAAAAAACCCCTGCTAGGCTCTTCCACTGCTTTAGAATTCCCATGTTCCTTTTCCTCACCTCCTGCTTCTCCAGCCCTTCTCCCTGCCCCTCTCATCCTTCACACTCTCCTCTCCCCTTAGCCTCCGCCACCCTGTCACTGCTGAATTGTGGCACTAACACTGTCCCTCACTTCCTGCCCGTGTCTGTTCTCCCCACAGTGCTCAGCAGTCCTGCTAATGTGACTCAGGTGGTGTCATTTCTTCACTTACAATGGTTGGATTTTGGTCTGTCATCTTGCTATATGGTTTCAATTTGTCTCATATCTTTTAGTTTCTGTTCCTCCTTTGCTACTTTCTTGAGTGTCAAGTAAACATTTCTTAATTTATGGTTTTAATGCTCCCAGTGGCTTTTAGCTGTATTTATTTACACTAATTTTTATTGTTGTAAGAACTGAAACCTGATTCCTTGACTTTTCACAGTGAAGTTCAGGTAATATTAAACTACAGCCAACAAAATAAATGACACGTGTAACAGTGTAGCTTCTTTGAACCTATCATTATGCTTTATTGTTGTATGTATTACATCGAACACTCAACGACACAGTGTAACACTTTTTGTTGTAGACAAGCAGCCATATGTCTTCAGGAAATAAAGAAAATGAGTGTGTGTGTGATATGTGTGTGTGCATCATTTCTGTTGTTAATTGTTCCTTTCTGTGTATCTGGGTCACCATCTAGTATCATTTCCCTTCAGCCTGAAGAACTTCCTTTAAAATTACATGTAGTACAGGACCCCTAGGAAATGAATTTTATGGTTTTGATGATCTGAAAATATCTTTATTTTTGCCTCCTTTCCTCACTTTTCTTTTCTTTATTTTTTTTTGTTTGTTTACTTATTAGGGCATTTTTGTGTAATAAAATTCACCAGTTTTAGCTGCGCTATTTGGTGAATAGTGTTAATTATTTATAGTCATGTAACTACCACTGCCCAGTAGAGAAACACCAGATGCAAAGAACCGCCTACTAGCTCCTCCACTGCTTTAGAGTCCTTTCCCCTGCTCCTTTTCCTCACCTCCTGCTTCTCCAGCCCTTCTCTCTGACCCCTCATCCCTCACACCCTCCTCTTCCCTCAATCCCCACTGCCCAGTAACGCCTGAATTGTGACACTGTAGAGAACAGTTTCTTTTCCCTAAAAAGTTTAATCCTTGCCTCCGACCCTCACCCCTTCCCTTCACTCAGTCACTGCTCTGCTTTCTGTCACTGCAGTAGTGTAATTTCTAGAATTTCATGGACATGTAATCATATTGTATGTAGTCCTTTGTTTGGTCTCTCAGCATAACAATGTTTGAGGTGATGCCATTCATTCACTTTTGTTGCTGAGCAACTGCCAAGTATTGCTAGAATCCCAGTTTATTCCCTGGTTTCTCTATTCTCCAATTGATAGACATGTGGATTACTCCAGTTAGGGTTTTTTATTAATGAAGCCACTATAAATAACTCTTCCAAGTGTGGCCTTACATTTTGATTTCTTTTGGATGAATAGATATTTGTGGAATTGCTGGGTCATGTCATAATAGATGGGTCGCTGCAGAAGAAATTGCCAAACCACTTTACAAATTGGTTGCAATATTTTTTGCATTCCTATCAGAAATATTAGACATTTCTATTTTTTCCATATTCTTGCCAATATTAAGACTTATCATATGTCTTTTTAACTTTACCTATTCTAGGTGATGTGTGATGGTTTCTCATTGTGATTTTAACTTTCACTTCTTTGATGACTAGTATTCTTTGCTATCTTTTTATGTTCATCTCAGTGACTTATCACATATATTTTATGAACTATTTTGCAAATTCAGTGATTAATTCCAGAGGCTTTTTCAGAATTCCCTAGTGTTTTGTGCATATGCAATAAGCCTGGTGACAAAGAAAGAGTTTATTTCTTCCTTTTCTATCTTTTGATCTTTTTCTTTTACAATTATTTTTATTTGGTAGAGATGAGGTCTCACTATCAGGCTGGTCTCAAACTCCTGAACTCAAGTGATTCTCCTACCTCAACCTCCCAAAATGCAGGGATTACAGGCAGGGGCCACCATGCCCAGTCCTTCTATTGGTCTTTTATTTCATTTTCTTACCATGCTGCACTGGTTAGGATGCCGGTTAGGTGTTTAAACAAGAATGATGAGAGCTCACATGTTTGTTTACAAGGAACTTAAACAAATTTACAAGAAAAAAAAAAAGCCCCTTCAAAAAGTGGGCAAAGGATATGAACAAACACTTCTGAGAAGAAGACATTTACGTGGCCAGGGAATGTATTTAAAAAAGCTCAATATCACTAATCATTAGATAAACGCAAATCAAAACCATAATGAGACACCATCTCTCACCAGTCAGAATGGCAGTTATTAAAAAGTCAAGAAACAATAGATGCTGGCAAGGCTCTGGAGAAATAGGAACACTTTTGTGCTGTTGTTGGGCATGTAAACTAGTTCAACCATTATGGAGGACAGTGTGGCCATTCCTCAAAGATCTAGAGCCAGAAATGCTATTTGACCCAGCAATCCTATTACTGCATATATACCCAAAGGAATGTAAATCATTCTGCTATAAAGACACATGCACATATATGTTTACTGTAGCACTATTTCCAATAGCAAAGACATGGAAACCATCAGTGATAGATTGGATAAAGAAAATGTAGTACATATACACCATAAAATACTACATGGCCATAAAAAGGAATGAGTTTACGTTCTTTGTAGAAACACAGATAAAGCTGGAAGCCATCATCCTCAGCAAACTAACACAGGAACAGAAAACTAAACACCACATGTTCTCACTCCTAAGAGGGAGCTGAACAAAGAGAACATATGGACACAGGGAGGGGAACCACACACACCAGGGCCTGTTGGGAGTGGGGAATGAGGGGAGGGAACTTAGAGGATGGGTCAATAGGTGTAGCAAACCACCATGGCAGACTATACATATGTAACAAACCTGCACATTCTGCACATGTATCCTGGAATTTAAAGTAAAATAAAATAAATTAAATATAAAAAGAAAACTCCTGTCTTACATGTACGCATATGTTCATAGCAGCACTGTTTACAATGGCAAAGACTTGGAATCAAACTTAAATGTCCATCAATGGTACACTGGATAAAGAAAATGTGGCACATGTACACCATAGAATACTATGCAGCCATAAAAAGAATGAGATCATGTCCTTTGCAGGAACACAGTTAAAGTTGGAGGCCATTATCCTCAGCAAACTAATGCAGGAACAGAGAATCAAATACCAAATGTTCTCACTTATGAGTGGGAGCTAAATGATGAGAACACACGGACATGTAGAGGGGAACAACACACACTGGAGTCTACTTGAGGGTGGAGGGTACGAGAAGGGAGAGGATCAGGAAAGAGAGCTAATGTGTACTAAGGTTTAATACTTGGGTGGGTACTACTGGGTACAGAAATAATCTGTACAACAAAACCCCATGACAGAAGTTTACCTATATAACAAACCTGCACGTGTATCCCTTAACTAAAAATAAATGTTAAATTTAAAAAAAAAGTGCATGTCTGGAAAGAGCATATGGTTAGGTTCAGTGTGTGTGGTTTTTTTAAAACCAATTCACACAATCTCTACCCGTCATTGGACTGTTGATTCATGTAGGTTTTTGTCACTATCAGTATGATAAGTTTCAGGTCTACCATGTTATTTTCCCAGTTTTGGTTTCTGTTCCTCTTGTCCTGACCAATGACTTCTTACTAGAAACCATAGAAGCAAACAAACAAAAAAAGTGGAGTAACATATTTAAATATCTGGAAGAAAAAAAGGTCAACTAAGAATTCTATATCCAGGACAGATATCCTTCAAGGACAGGCAAAATAAGGAGATATTTCAGGTAAAAGAAAATTAAGAGAATTTGTCACCAGAAGATCTGCACAGTATTATTGGTAAAGAAAATTCTTCAGGCTAGAGGCAAATGAAACCAGGTGGAAAATAAAATTATCAGAAAAGATAAAGATGATCAAAAATGGTAAATATTGAGCTAAGTGCAAAGGTCTTTCTTCCTCCTTCCATTTACTCTTACTTTATATACATAGATCTGTTTAAAGATAAGAAAAAGTTTTTTCTTGTGGGACTTATAACCTACATAGAGTATATTACATATAATATCTATGCCATAAAAGATGGACATTTTATAGAGGATAAATGGTTGCAAGATTTCTATATTTAATGGGTACTAGTACATTAATAACTGAAGTGGACTGTGAAATGCTAAGAATGAGTTAAGTTCTGGAGGAAGTTGAGACACAAAAAATCATTCAAAAGATCAACAAATCTCAGAGATGATTTGAAAAAAAAATCATAGCCAGTCTTGAGTCTCATCATCCTATGATTTCAGAACTACTGTGAATACAAAAGTAATCAAAGAACAGTCCTGGCCAGAAAGAGGAGTTATCCCTAAATATGGTGGCCCTGGGACAGCTGGCCCTCCCTGCTGGACCTCTTCCACGTGGGCGCTTTCTGCAGTGACTCTGTTGCCTTGCTATTCCACTCTATCCAGTGTCCTGACCCAAGAGACAAGGGGTGTCTGCTGCTGTGTCCACACTGGGAGAAGGAAACCATGATGGTGTCAGTACATTACAAGCATAACAGCTCAAACTGTAATCCCAGCAACTCAGGATGCTAAGGCAAGAGGATTGATTGAGATCAGAAGTTGGAGACCAGCTTGGACAACATAATGAGACCCTCATCTCTAAAAAAAATTAAGAATAAGTAAACTTAGCTGGGAGTGGTGGTGGGCACTTGTATTCTCAGGTATTGGGGAGGCTGAGGTGGAAGATCCCTTCAGTTCATGAATTTAAGGCTGCAGTGAGCTATGATTGCACTACTGGACTCCAGCCCAGGCCACAGTGAGATATTGACTCAAAAAATACATTGTAAACCTTTGCTGACGATGGGCTATTTTATTTATTATTTATTCAAGGTGTATTTTTATTTTACTGGCAGCACAATAAGCCAGGACATGCTAAAACTAGAAATCCCTTTCTCAGTGTTAAAAACCCAGCTCAGGGAGGTGAGAGGAGACATTCCTCATTAGCATTAAGGATTCAGGAAGCTCGACATGGGCTGGGCTGGAAGGTTTTTACTTGCAACCTGGAGGACGAGCAATGACATCTCTCTTTTCACCTCAAAGCTCATCCTGGGCATCCACCTCCTGGGAGCAGGAGCAGCGCAGTAGCGCCACCTGGTGGTCCATGCGCTTCCTTTTGCAGATCACGCACAGCCCTGAGATCCACCTCTTCCTCGTATACACCTGGGTTTTCTTCACTGGACGTCAGCCTGGGTCAACTTTCCTGTAAAGCAAAAGAAGCGTGAGGTTACTGGGGGAGGAACGGTGTCATTTCCACTTATGGCGAGATCCATGTCACCGTGTTCAGAGGAAGAGCCAAGCCTTTCTTTCCATGCAGAGAGGAGGCTCTGGCCATAAAGGCGCCTGTGGAGAGGTGAGGACCTGCTCTCTCTACACTGATGACCAAGAGCCTGCAGAGGGTGGGGAAGCTTTCCCCTCAGCTGTGTTCTATCAGGTTCTTCCAGGAGTTTAGCTTCCCCTCAGCTGTGTTCTATCAGGTTCTTCCAGGAGTCAAGGAGTAGACCTGCATATTGCCTCTGGTGATGTGAGCTGCACGCGCACCTAGAAGTGAGGTCACCCCTGCTGGGGGTCCTGGGGCTGCTGGGTGTTCTGGGTGCTCAGTGTCCAGAGAGGAGGATGGGGAGGAGGCTTTGTGCAAAGCAGTAACCATAATCTCTAAATTATTTTTTCATTAGCCTTTGTGTCATAAAATATAGGACTCCAAAAGGAAAAAATAACTGTCTAAAATTTGTGTCCTTTAATAAAAAGTAAACACCCATTAACCACAAGGGATAGACGTTTGCAGGGCAAACCAGAAGTCCTATCATTTGACTCATCTCAACAAAAAACTGTTTGCTCTCCCAAATCAAAACATGTCCTGACTTTTACAATCATCTCTTCTTTGTTCTATTTTATAATTTCTCATCCAAAATTACAATTTTTACCTTTAGAAATATACTTTGTTTTCTTTTATTCTATAGATTCTTCCTTGAAATGTACATTGTGTGGTAGAGCTTCCCATAGTGTGCAGTTTGCTGATTGCTCCTCAAGGTGTAGTTGAATGTGTGTATTGCCTCTAAATTGGTAATTGGCTATGGAGGTTCGCTTAGCTTCCAGCTTGATTTCTTTTTCATTTGCACTTGTTTGATGGTACTGGATTGTGTTCTTCCACCAAGAGGAAGAAACTCACATTAGTTTTTTTCTTTTATTGTGTTATTAATTGCCATTGCTGTTTGATGGCTAAATCTGTTAATTCATTATGTGTTGCAAAAGAGTTGTTATAGTCTCAGTCTCCCATTCCTTTCTCATTTACCATCTGAATCATTTCTAAAGAGATTGACCCTCTTCTACTATTTGTTTGAGAGACTAATCCAAGCATTTGCTCACCTATGGCCCATCAATTGCACTACTAGTTATAAACCAACAGAAATGTGTGTATGTGTGTGCCTAAATATATGAAAATATTATTCATAGCAGCATGATTTGTAAAATCTGGATACAACACAATTATCTATCAACAGTGAAGGGACAAGAAGTGTGAGCTATTTATAAAGTAGAGCATTGGACAGCCATGGGAGTGAGTAGGCTACAAACACACACACAGAGAGATGATGAGACCCAGGGGCATGATGGCCACTGT